AGGGGAAGGCCTCGGCCTCTCTGCCCTGCTGCTGGCCCTCCAGAGGAACTGGTTGGCCACAGTGTGAGACAGGATGCTGGACTAGATGGACTTTTAGTATGATCCAGCAGGGCTTTTCTTATGTTCTTGACATCAGGGGAAAGCCTTGGTCTCTGTGCCCTGTTGTTGGACATCTAGAGGAGCCTCTGTCTAAAAACCTCCAGAGAAGGAGAGCCCGCCACCTCCCGAGGAAGCCTGTTCCACTGAGGAATCGTTCTGTCAGGAAGTTAAGTGGCGATCGGCATTTCCCTGGGCGTGTAAGAAAGGGTCACAAGAACTAAGCACTGAGGCAACCCTTCCTGCCCTCCCTTCTTGTGACCTGCCGAAGTTCACAGAATCAGCATTGCTGTCGGATGGCCATCTAGCCTCTGTCTGAAAACCTCCGGAGGAGAGCCCACCACCACCCGAGGGAGCCTGTTCCACTGAGGAACTGGTCTGTCAGGAAGTTCTTCCAAATCTTTAGCTGAAAATTTCAACCCATTGGTTCTGGTCCAACCATCTGGGGCAACAGAAAACAACTCCGCCCCACCCTCTATAGGACAGCCCTTCAAGTACTTGAAGAGGGCTATCATATCACCTCTCAGTCATCTCCTCTCCAGGCTAAACATACCCAGCTCCCCCAGCCTTTCCTCAAAGGACTTGGTCTCCAGACCCCTCTGGACATGTTCCAGCTTGTCTATATCCTTCTTAAATTGTGGTGCCCAAAGCTGAACACAATACTCTAGGTGTGGTCTAACCAGAGCAGAGTAAAATAATAATTATGCATTTGATTTTTCCTACCTAAATGCAGAACTTTACATTTATCCCAGTTGAAATTCATTTTTATCGTTTTAGCCCAGTTTTCCAGCCTGTCAAGATCATCCTGTATCCCGACTCTGTCTTCTACCATATTTCCTACCCCTCCCAATTTAGTATCATCTCCAAATTTAATAATCATGCCCTCTATTCCTTCATCTAAATCCCTCCCTTATATATAATTGAGTAAGACGCAGCGGAGACAAAATGCGCTTCGTCAGCCATTGGTCGGCCAGCTGCTGCTCAAGGCTGCTGCCATGCCATTGGCATGGAGGCTCTCAGAGCGGCTTACAATCTCCTTTCCCTTCCCCTCCCCACAACAGACACCTTATGAGGCAGGTGAGGCTGAGAGAGCTCTTTCAAGGACTGTTCTTGTGAGAACAGCTCTGAAAGATCTGTGACTGACCCAAGGTCACACCAGCAGCTGCATGTGGAGGAGTGAGGAATGAAAAGTGGTTCTCCCAGATTAGAGTCCGTGCTCCCAACCACTACACCAAACTGGCTCTTAATCCAAATAGGATCCAAACAACATTTTACCAACTTGTCAACAAGAATGGTCCACTGGTCTGTCTTCTTACGTTCTTAACATCAGGGGAAGGCCTCAGCCTCTCTGCCCTGCTCTTGGCTCTCCGGAGGAACTAGTTAGCCCTTACGTGAGATGAGATGCTGGACTACGTGGACCACTGGTCTGAGCCAGCAGGGCTCTTCTTACATTCTTCAATGTTAGTCTTTAAATGTGTTGCTGGAATTCTGTTTTAAAGAAGAACCCTAGAGAAATTTAGTTCTGTTTGACAATACAAGACTGTTGAGTCTCAATGCATACCACACACTGCCCTGTATCTTGCAAACACACACACACTAACTATTGTGTCTTGTGATGTACGTCTGTACCCGTTACGCATAATCACTCATCAGTGACAACTGTGTTTCTTTTCTACGAGCAACAGCCTCACCGATAACAGAACCAGCAACGTCCACCTACCCTCGACCAGGGCCAGGGCTTTTTCCGCCCTGGCCCCCAACTGGTGGAACATGCTCCCTATTGAGATCAGGGCCCTGCAGGATCTTATGCAATTCCACAGGGCCTGCAAGACGAAGCTCTTCTGCCAGCGAACGTCCACATACAGCCCCCCCCCCCAGGTTGCGATATTCCACCGACTGATAACCGGCCATACCTAGTTACATGAATAGGCCGGATTCCGCCCTACGGCAAGCATGACTACTGATTTTATATGGCTTAAAGTGTTTTCAATGTTATTGTATTTATTAGAATGTTGTAACCCGCCCTGAGCCCGTTTACGGGATGGGCGGGATATAAATGCAAAAAATAAATAAATAGCCAAGCTTCTGAAGATCACTGGAGTGGTTGGGTAGGTCCATATGGGTGTAGAAGGTTTTATACATCAGGAATGACAACAAACTGGTTACAACATTGATACAGATGATTGGTCCAAAATTTGGAAAGCTATTCAACGTACACGAGCAATACCCTACAAGGAAAACATATATAAAATGTTTTATAGGCGGTACTGGTCACCAGATAAAATAGCGAAGTGCTATAACTCGAATGATAAAAGTGTTGGAACACCTTCCCTATGAGGAAAGGTTAAGGCGCTTAGGGCTCTTTAGCTTGGAGAAAAGACGACTGAGGGGTGACATGGTTGAGGTTTATAAGATTATGCATGGGAAAGAGCAGGTAGAGAAAGAGGTACTTTTCTCCCTTTCTCACAATACAAGAACTTGTGGGCACTCCATGGAATTGCTGAGCGGTCGGGTTAGAACGGATAAAAGGAAGTACTTCTTCACCCAAGGAGTGATGAACACTTGGAATTCACTGCCACAGGAAGTGGTGGCTACAAGCATGGACGGCTTCAAAAGGGAATTAGATAAGCATATGGAGCAGAGGTCCATCAGTGGCTATTCGCCACAAGGTATAGATAGGGACTCTGAGGCAAGTGATGCTCTGTCATCTTGGTGCTTGGGGGGGGGGCAACAGTGGGAGGGCTTCTAATGTCCTGGCCCCACTGGTGGACCTCCTGATGGCACTGGTATTTCTGGCCACTGTGTGACAGAGTGTTGGACTGGATGGGCCATTGGCCTGATCCAACATTGGCATCTCTTATGTTCTTATCTATATAAAAACTGCTGGAAATGTAAAGATAGTGTTGGCACTCTCTACCACATGTGGTGGAGGTGTAGTATAACACAAAAACATTGGGGCAAAATACAGAATCTTATGTTTGAAATTCTAAATATAGATTTACCATATAATCCTGAAATCTATCTGTTAAATATTTTACCAGACAAATGTAATAAAGTAGAACAATATGTAATAACATATATGCTAACATTAGTTCGTATTATATTTGCTAAATATTGGAAACAAGAGAAGATACCCTCAAGAGAAGAATGGATTCATAGAATGTTGGATATAGCAGAAATTGATGAATTAACATTGTTTATACAAGGTAAAGATGATAATGTGTTTAATAAAAGATGGCATAGATTTTATATATGGCTAGATAACAAATTTCAAAAATAGACTCATGGTACTATAAATACTTTAATGTAAATGATGCATCTATTATGTATGATGTAAAAATACTATAAATAAAACTTTTTTTAAAAAAAGGAATGACAACAAACAATAACAATAAAAACATTGAAATCCAGGTTGAATACCCTATTCCAAGCTGACATGGTTTAGTGGAGGAAACATCTATCTAAAGCCATTTTGCTCATTCTGCAGAAGAAGGAGAGGGAGGAAACGGAACGTACTTCTAATTTTAGCTACCCCTTCTCTACCAAATGGAACTAAGCGAAGGAACAGACACAAGACTGAAGTGTAGCACTTTCCTCTCTCGACAAGTTGAAGGAGCAGTGAAAACAAAAACGAACATCTAAGCACCACCACTAAGCTTTAGTTCCAGCACTCAGCCAGACGTAACTTTCTCCCAAGACCTCGCAATCCAGGCTGGAAGTTATCGCTTCTCTCCCGAACCCAGGCTCTTTTTTTATGTCAGCCAAGCAGACAGTACTGCTGGGAGGATATCGTATTCCTCCTAATCTTGCTTTGGCCCAAATAAGAGCTTGGGAAGAACTCTGAACAGAAGTTCGGCCCACTGAACCACGACTTAAGCGGCTAACACTGGAACTATACGGAGACTGCAAGCCGGTTGGGTGACCTTTATTACAGTATAATTCTTTTTCATACATAAAAGTACTCAGCGTCATTTTATACACAGAAATACTTAGCATAATGAGTTCTTCCCATTTGTTTCGTGTTACGGGCAACACTGGTGCCGCAAAACCAAAAAATAAATACATATTTAATGCAGAAGTCTGGTGATCGTTAGATGTAGAACAGTGGCATTCGCTCCACGGCTCACAGACAGCGGTATCCGCAATTACCATCGATCCAAAGAGCCACGGGTACTTCCATCCTGGCCCGTAGCTGCAGTGGGGCCATTAGGGGCTGTGCTCCCTTCCTTAAAGGGCCAGACCCACAAGATTCTTTTGAGAAGATTTTTTTTAAGGAATCAGGGATCCTTTAAATGCTTTTGAGAAGAAGTGGGGGATGGCACGTGCCCCCTCTCCCGCAAGTTAAGACGCTGAATTGCAGGCTGTGGAAGGTCGGTAGTTCAGCAGTTCGAGACCCAAGTGTGCCGCATGACGGAGTGAGCTGATTGGCGAGCCACGTGCTCCTCGCCAATCAGCTGAAGGGCCCTTTAAGTCTTCCAGGAAGATGGAAGAAGAAGGAGGAAGAATAAGAAGAAGAGGAGGAGGAGATTGAATTTATATCCCACCCTTCAGTACCCGGAGGAGTCTTACAGAGGCTTACAATCTCCTTTCCCTTCCCCTCCCCACAACAGACACCCCGAGAGGTCGGTGGGGCTGAGAGAGCTCTTTCAAGAACTGCCCTTGAGAGAACAGCCCTGAGAGAACTTGTGACTGACTCAAGGTCACACCAGCAGCTGCGTGTGGAGGAGTGGGGAAATCAAACCCGGTTCTCCCGCTCCTAACCACTACACCAAACTGGTTCTCATGAGTTTCATGTGCACAGAAAGACAAAAAGACAAAAAGGGGGATACACATTAAATGTATTTTGCAATAATTGGGAAAGAGCAGTCAATGAGCACGGACGTAACTCCTTTCCAGACCAGTACCTTGGTTGAGCTGCGTCGCTTCCGTTATCTGAACCCCGTTGACAGAACACTGCGCTCCCCTCAGCGGGATTAAATGGACCGTTCCGTCGAAATGTTCGAAAACGCAGTGCTCGCTTTCCAAGTCGAGGCCGTGAAGGACTGCCAGACAAACGAAACAGATTTTTTTTACTTTTGTTTTAGTAGCCAATAGAACTACCGTTTATTGTCTTCATCCTACAGTTTAAAATCTGCTGTGAGAAGGGGCTCCAAGGCCCCCCCCCATTATCACACTGCGCTGTCTCTATGCAAGTAATAAAAGGTAAAGGTAAAGGTTCCCTTGCTCGAAAGCCAGTCGAATCCGACTCTAGGGTTGTGGTGCTCATCTCCGTTTCAAAGCCGAAGAGCCAGCGCTGTCCGAAGATGTTTCCATGGTCATGTGGCCGGCATGACTAAACACCAAGGCGCACGGAACGCTGTTCCCTTCCCACCGAAGTGGTCCCTATTTATCTACTTGCAATTTCTTGCTTTCGAACTGCTAGGTTGGCAGGAGCTGGAACTAGAGACGGGAGCTCACTCCGTCACGCGGCACACTCAGGTCTCGAACTGCTGAACTACTGACCTTCCACAGCCTGCAGTTCAGCGTCTTAACCACTTGAGCCACTGTGGCTCCAAGTATATTACTCTGCAAACTCACAGAAAGAATGCTCTTGCAATAAATACTGCAAACGGTGCCAAGGGAAGTCAACGACATCCCTAGGCAACCTATCTGAAGTACATTAAAACTAGAGGGGGGGAAAACTAGAGGAATATAAGATTTCCCTCTATTAACATAATCAATTCACACACAAAATCAATTAAAAGTGTGGGTTAACAGTTAGAGGAGAGGTCCCCAATATGGGGCTTGTGGGCCCCACGGCACCCACGGACACCTTTCCTGATGCCCGCTGAGTGCTTTTAGAAGGTGGGCAGGGCCACAGGGCATTCTTGCCCAAGAGGATTTCTGATGGGTCACTGGGGCGCTGAGCAGCTGAGGAAATTTTTTAAAAAACGTTGCTTTGGGAACAGCTGCCAGCACAGCGCAGGGATCTGCCCCGAATTACTGAAGGTAAGCTGCGTGCATGTGCGAGAAAATATTTTTTTAAGACTGTGTTTATTTTAAAAGGCATTCTGAAATGCTGAAGAGTGACTATGAGTTATGTGTGACTTCACTCCCTGATATTTTGTGGTTTGTTCTGCCTCATGCGGCAGCCATTTTGTGGTTGGCTCCACCTCCGGTGGCGGCCATTTTGTGGTTGGCTCCACCTCTGGCGGTGGCCATTTTGTGGTTTGCTCCACCTCCAGTGGTGGCCATTTTGTGGTTGGCTCCACCTCCAGTGGTGGCCATTTTGTGGTTGGCTCCACCCCCGGCGGTGGCCATTTTGTGGTTGGCTCTGCTAACTGTGGTGGACCCTTTGGGTTGTGCCCACTACACTTTGTCAGAATTCCAAAGGCACCGCCCTAACCTGGATGGCCCAGGCGAGCTCGATGTCATCAGATCTCGGAAGCTAAGCAGGGTCGACTCTGGCAAGTCCTTGGATGGGAGACCTCCTTGGAATACCACAGGCGGGAGGACAAGGCCATTCTTTATTCAGCCACCTCCCTGAATATCCTCCAGGCCCCCAGTAGGCGTCAGTCACAAGAGGTCGCCATGACTTCCAGATGCACTCCAGGGTTATATTGGCTGGGTTTTGTGCCTACGAACCAGGGGAGGGGCTGTGACTCAGTGGCAGAGCATGAACGTGGCATGCAGAAGGTCCCAGGTTCAACCCCTAGTGTCTCCAGTTAAAAGGATCAAGAAGTCAGGTGATGTGAAGGACCTCTAACTGAGACCCTGGAGAGCTGCTGCCAGTAGGCAATACTGACCCTGACGGGCCAACGGTCAGATTCAATATAAGAAAGATTCCTGGGTATTCAA